ATAATGGGTGAATAAATCATTCCTTGAAACCAACAATTGCTGACAGGGCATGTTGCTCCTTGTGATCTGGCCCAGAAAGAAGGCAGCTGGCAAAGCATTTTGTATAGAAGTATAGAGAGCAGGTTAGCAATCTTGTGCAGGCCTGAATCAAACGGACTCCAGTTGGTGATTGGATTTTACATTTCCCCCTCTTCTAGTAACTAAAGTCAAATGCATCATTATCATTACAAATTGTGTTACACTGAGATCTGAGGACCATTAGTCTAACAGTACTGAATCTTTGTTTTATACAGTCAGCCAAGCAATTAACAATAATACAAGGGTGTATCATTTGTCCTAAAAGCAAAAACAGAAGGGGGCCAGAGATGGTCATAACCAAAGTGGTGAACCAAGGTGATGAAGAGAATAGGCTCTCAAATCAGTTTTGTTGGTTGTGTCTTAGCTCTTTTCTTTCCTTGAGACAGTTTCTGACTAGAGATAGTCTTTTCACATTATTGCAGAATGATGTGTATAGAAGTAGCAGGTTTCTCCCAGGGCCATACAAAGGCCTCCTTGCTTTAAAAACAGATCTATTCCTCATCTGTTTTGGAGGACCAACTTAGGCAAGGAGTTTAAGGAAGATTTTAGTTGGACATTGAAGTTTCTTATTCAGAGAATATTTACCTAATATGTGGAAGTTTTTGCTTCCAGTTATGAGGGCAGCCCCTCCAGGAGCTGTGGATCCAGATATTCCCAATCGAACCATAACTGGTAATAGGGGCAGGGGCAGCCCTCTTTTTTCGGTGGGCCAGTTCCCAGTGTATTCTTCTTCCTGTATAATCCTGTCTTTGAAAGGCAGGAGGTGATTCCTATAGTATAAGCAAACCATGATCCTTCTGAAGCTACTAGGTAACTATTATCTACAAGGTCCCCAAGGATGAGTTTGTATAGTTGGCTGCATGAATTTTGATATGGGGACTTACCGATATTAAGCTCAGTATTTAAGAAACAGGTAACTCATCCTCCAAGATCCCCAAGAGTGAGCTTGGGTTCCTTACCCCACCAGCAAAGCACCTGGGCATGGGTTTGTTCAGCACTTACATTGTGGATATGTTGGGGTAGTTGTTCTGCAGTGCTGTTGGTGACAATGCCTACATAACATGGTGGTTCAGGGTTGACACATGGCCAGCAATCCTGGGTGTCACTGGAATTTGTTGCATTAAGAAAAAGAAAACCTGAGTCTAACATATTTAAGAAAGAAATTTACTTACCTTCTAAGGGTGACCTGTTGCTTGCAGTGCTGTAATTTACTCTATGGAAGAGGTAACTGAATCCTGCGGCTGGACCAGAAGCACATGAGGTATAATCTATCTACTGGGGCCAATTGAGTTGGTTGGCATTTTAGGACAGTCACGTTTTACGGTAAATATTGCATCTGGCTCCAAACAGGAATACATAGTCACAAACTTCATGTGAATCCTGTGTTCCAGATGCAATCTTGTAGTTTTGTATTTTTTTAAACCTGAATATTTATAGGGTTACATTTACATACTTTACAAGGTCGCAGAGTTGTTTCTCTTTTGAAGGCAATATAACTGTCTGGGATTCGAGACACCAGGGGCTATTGTTTTGTAGCCCCATGCACAGCAGTTATAGTCCCCAGTACCTCCACAATATGCGTTTTCATGATCAGGGCATATGTAAAACTGGGTATTAAAAATAATTGTTGTTCCATGTCTTTCCTCCCACATACATAGAGGATTAGTTTTAGACTATTCCAAAAATTGCCAAAGAGTTGAAAGACAACTGACCAATATGTATGGGCCCCATAGGTGGACACCTGCTTAACTGCACTCCCATCCTGTTTTTTTAACTCCCAAATACAGTTAATCAATTGATGTAGGGAATGCGATATAGCCCCACCCGTTCTATTTCTATTTAAGATCAACAACATTAATATTACATAGGTGCTAAAGAGTTTCTTTGATAAGCCTTATCTTTAGTGGGTCCCAAGAGTGTCTGACAATTCTCCATTTCTTACCTGATGTTTGAGGAACTGCGACCATCACCGCATGCCAAAGTGGGCTTAGTGTCCTGTGGGTTGGTGACCATTGCTCCCTGGAGCTGGTGTCCTTTTCAACCTGAGAGTGATGAATCCATAACTTGTTCCCATCTACCTTAATGGCTGTTGGAGTGGTTAGGATCATAGCACATGGTCCTTTCCAGAATGGCTGCAGGGCTTCAGTTTGATGTCTCTTGATCCAAACATGGTAACCTCATCAGAAACAAGGTGGTTGGACTGGCCGGAAAGCTGCCTCCAGGTCAGATATCAGTTCTTTTGGACTTTCTGGAAAGCCTACAAGGAACTTAAAAGCTGATCACAGCAGATAATTTGCAGGGCTTATTCTCCCATCTTGGGCAAATCAGGTGGGGTCTCCCAAACATAGTCTCAAATGGAGTGAACCATTTAATGCTGGAGTTATATCTTGTTCTAAGTAGGACAAAAGCCAGCATGCCCACCCAATTTTCACCAGTCTCTAGGGATAATTTGACCAAGGTCTCCTTTAGGGGCTGATTTACTCTCTACCAGGCCAGAGCTTCGGGGTCTATAAGCACAATGTAATTTCCAATTTATCCCCAAAGCTTGGGCTATTCCTTGTGACACCTGGGCAATAAAGTCAGGGCTATGAACTGAGCCTTTATGGAGAGTCAGACCACACCTAGCAACAATCTCATGTAACAATTTTCAGCAGTCATGGTTGCCAATTTCAGTCTTAGTAGGAAAACTTCTTCCCATCCTGGGAAAGTACCTATAAACACAGTAAGTTTATATCCATATTTTCTTGACTTAATTCCAATGAAATCAATTTCCACAAACCTCCCTGGCTCTGTTGCCTGGTTATTGATTGCAGTTTTGTTGTTGGTCATGGCCCTGGGTTAACCCGGAAATAAATCACACAATGTTCTACCACTCCTTCCATCAATGCGTTTAGTCCTCACATCCTAAATCCTTTCCTGAGGAACTCTGCAAGCTTTGTTTTTGCTAAATATGTGCTTTGATGGAGTTGCTAAGCCAGATGTTGCCCCAGGACTTTTGGAAGAAACAGCCTACCGTCCAGTTCTTGGTACCAGTTCTGTTCTCGCTGCCTGGTTCCCCTCTTTTCTTGTATCTATAGCAAAGATTTGGAAGAATATGGATCTGAGGGAAGAATTTAGTAAATACAGGGAGTATGGCAGTTGCCCTCGTGGCCACTTCTCATTAGCCATGTCCAGTTCAGTATTATCACAAATGCAGTGGGAACCAACTAGCAGCTAATAAGCCGTGAGAATTTCGTCTTTGTTTTTGTTTGCCTTCATCTGTAAGGAGGCCTAATTGCCGGTAGATGGCACCATTTACATGAGCTGTAGCAAAGGCACACATACAGACATGTAATGTGGGAAGCCATAATGCATGGAATCAGTGTGAATCTGAGCAGTAGTGGTGGCAGCTGACACATAAACTCCACCTGAAAGAGGAACTCCAAGAGTCTGATGACAGACAATTCTTTTGTCTTTGAGAAATGCCTAACACAGCCTTGGGTGTTTTTTGAATAGCAGTCCCAGAGACTCCTCAGGGCCATGACAATGTGGTAGCTTGGCTGAAAAAGCACCAGAGACAAACTGGTGAGGGATGTCCATTTATTGAAAACATCATTCAAGCATATGTATAAAATGGAGGGGGAAGGCAGAAAGGTGGTCTTGATAGTACTCCCACCCTACACTGTTATTGTATCTTGCCAGTAGGCATGCCTATCTCTCTGGACATTCTAATCAAGTTCCCACTTACATTCTGTTAAAGGGTTGGGAGCTTAATGTTTTAGGCCATGTGCAGGTAGACCAAGATAAGCTAGCACCTGGGCTGAAAGCTATGCCTTTGGGTATGATCATTACATGTGACTGGCAAACAGAATAAAGGTTACATTTCACTTCTCAGAGTTGCTTATCAGGGAAATTCTAGCACAGCTTCGCAGGGACAGAGAAATTGGGATACAGCGTGCTACTACTCGGGATGTATGCCCAGTGAACAGGCCAAGATGCAGTCTTTGTTAGCTGAGACCACTCTCAGGGCTTTGTCTTGGAAACACAGTGTACCATGTGCCTATGGCGTCCTGCATGGAATAAGCAGGCAAAGATGCAGGAGCAATCTGCCATACTTATTATTCAAGGAGAGACAGTGGCCAAAAAGGATCCACATTTGGCCAGATCTCACAAAAGAATCTTGCCTCTGCACAAGTTTCATCCTTCACACCTGGGTCTTTATCACTACAACTGCCACATGCATCACTTGGTATTTGTGATTCCAATATAATTCTCTAATAGGATGAGGAATTTTGAGATTCTAAAAAAGATAAATGTGTAAGTGAGAAACATGGTATTTCAAGCAAATGTTATACACTGAGCATTTAGTATCAACATTAAATCTGAAAGCAGAATTCCCATTTACAACCTCACAGCAAAGGGAGATTACATACAACTTGCATCTTAATTATTTTAGTAAGAAATAACCTCGATTCTGAAATAAAATGGTACTCCTCATGTTTAATAAACACTTGCTGAGACTTTCAAAGTATGTTTCCACATCCATTGCCGTTTTACAATGTTTTATATTTGCACTCTTGCTAATGGTTCTTTCTTCATTCACTTTATCAGCTCTGACAGACAATAATAACAGGTTTATGGCAGCTATTCTTTGTGATTACATTTTTTGTAGTGCTGAGGTCCGTGACTCTGCTAACGATTGACTTCAGAAAAATGATTTTTCAGTCAATGCAGTATGTTTGCCCGTTTCTTTGAATATGCTAATTACTAAAGCACGTATGCTTTGCACTGTGCTCAAAATGTTTGGGTGAATTTTAACACACATGTAATACATTCGTGCTTTCCTATGTGAATTCTGATGTTTAACAAAACTTGACTGCTTGCAACAGGATTTTCAACCCAATACATTCGTGTGTTTCTTACCCAATACATTCGTGTGTTTCTTATCCTGTATGCATTTCCTGATGGCAAATTAAACCTGTTTGGTAAGTAAAGGCTTTAAGATACACAATGAATTCATAAGTTTTCTCCTGTGTGGATACTTTGATCTATGATTAGGTGTGACATATGAGAAAAAGCTTTTACACACTCACGACATTCAAAAGGATTCTTCCACACTTTGGATTCTCTGATGTCTAATAATGTGTGCCACATGAAAAAATCTTTTTCACACTCACTACATTCATAAGGTATTTCCCCAGTATGGATTCTCTGGTGTCTAATGAGATATATTATATTATATTCTTACATTTATTCGTATGATTTAAAAAATAAAGGTTTTCCACTCACTACATTCATAAGGTTTTTCACCTGTGTGTATTCTCTGATGTAATCAAATGTTGACTTATCAGAAAATTCTATTCCACACTCACTACATTCATAAAATTTCTCCCCTTTTTGGACCCTCAGAATCTAAAGAGGTGTGTGTTACGAAAAAAGCCTTTTCCACACTCACTACATTCATAAGGTTTTTCACATGTGTGCATTCTCTGATGCCTAATGAGGTGTGACTTTTGAATAAAAGCTTTTCCACACTCACTACATTCATACAGATTTTCCCCAGTGTGCATATTCTGATGATGAATGAAACCTGAGTGGATACTAAAAGATTTTCAACATTCACTGCATTTATAAGGTTTTTCACCTGTGTGCATTCTCTGATGCCTAACGAGGTGTGACTTACGAATATAAGCGTTTCCTCACTCACTGCCCTCATAAGGTTTTTCCCCAGTGTGGATTCTCTGATGCCAAACGAGGTCTGACTTACGAAAAAAAGCTTTTCCACAATCACTACATTCATAAGGTTTTTCTCCAGTGTGTGTTGTCTGATGTCTCAGGAGGATTGGCTTATGAAAAAAGCGTTTTCCACACTCATTACACTCATAAGGTTTTTCTCCAGTATGGATTCTCTGATGTTTTCTAACGGTTGACTTATCAGAAAATGCTTTTCCACACTCACTACATTCATAAGGTTTTTCCCCTGTGTGAATTCTCTGATGACTAGTGAGGTATGACTTTTTAATAAAAGCTTTTCCACACCCACTACATTCATAAGGTTTTTCCCCAGTGTGGATTCTCTGATGATGTACGAATTGTGAATTTGTGGCAAAAGCTTTTCCACACTCACTACATTCATAAGGTTTTTCCCCTGTGTGGATTCGCTGATGACTAATGAGCTGTGACTTACGAATAAAAGCTTTTCCACACTCACTACATTCATAAGGTTTTTCCCCAGTGTGGATTCGCTGATGACTAATGAGCTGTGACTTACGAATAAAAGCTTTTCCACACTCACTACATTCATAAGGCTTTTCCCCAGTGTGGATTCTCTGATGATGAATGAAGTCGAACTTTCTGAGGAAAGCTTTTCCACACTCACTGCACTCATAAGGTTTTTCCCCTGTGTGCCTTCTCTGATGCCAAACGAGGTCTGGCTTATGAAAAAAAGCTTTTCCACACTCACTACATTCAAAAGGTTTTTCACCTGTGTGGATTCTCTGATGACTAATGAGTTGTGACTTTCGAATAAAAGCTTTTCCACACTCACTACATTCAAAAGGTTTTTCACCTGTGTGAATTCTCTGATGATGTACGAATTGTGAATTTGTGGCAAAAGCTTTTCCACACACACTACATTCATAAGGTTTTTCCCCTGTGTGCGTTCTCTGATGCCTAATGAGGTGTGACTTACGAATAAAAGCTTTTCCACACTCACTACATTCATAAGGCTTTTCCCCAGTGTGCTTTCTCTGATGATGAATGAATTCTGACTTGCTGGCCAAAGGTTTTCCACAATCACTACAATCAAATGGTTTCTCCCCAGAGTGGATTCTCTGATGTAATCTCATGCTTGACTTAAGAGAAAAACCTCTCCCACACTCACTGCATTCATAAGATTTTTGCCCAGGGTGCTTTCTCTTATGCCTAATGAGAGATAACTGCTGCTGAATGAAATTTCCATGCTCGGTGTATTCATACGGATTCTCTGCAATTTGAAGGATTTGAACTCTAATGAGTTCTGACTTGTGGTTCCTGATTTCTTTACATTCATTTGACACATACAGATTTTCTCCTGAGTCAGTTCTCTGTTTGGGGGTAAGGAAAGATGTATAGTGGCCAACATGAATTGCTTCTCCCACACTGACAGGTTGCTGATTGCATAGGTCTTTGGTATAAACATGCTCACAAGTAAGGACTATCTTCTGCCTGCTGAAAGCTTTCTCTTTCCCATTGTGTTCAAAGGACTGCTGACAAATGTGGATCTTGTCAAGATGACTGAGATTTTTCTCACTCTCGAGGTTGTTCTCAGGAACAACTGAGGCATGCTTCTTTTCAAATGGCATTTCATCAGACTTCCTATGGGATAAGAGAAATTAAAATAAACTATGATGTCATTTCCTCTCTCCTTTCAAAAGGCATTAGATCTCTGAGCCCCTCCTGGGAGTTGCTTTCCTCCTCCCCTCTTCCAAGTTCAGCTGGTCCATTAACAAGTAATAATTAGACTAGTTTCCATTTTCTGTTTCTACACCATGTTAAAGGAAAGATTCACTGAGCTTTCCTGGTAACATTTGGTTTGGTGCACAATATGGGAGTTGAAAAAGTATTTTGGCTCTTATACAAGACCAATGAGCGCAGACTTAGGAAAAAGAAGATTCCACATCATTTGTACTGAGCCTGTGGAAATGACCTTATTACCACATGCCTCTGAAAAATATGAACACACCCACGAACCCATGCAATCCTCAGCCACAACCTAGGTCCGGCTAAACCTCCAGATGGATTGTATTAGGAAAGGCCACAGCACACAGCAACGTGAAGTGGAAGTGGGGGAAGACAAGACTGAGCCAGGTTGCAACACATGCTGGTGGAAAATGAGTTGAGGCAAGCCGTGGCAGTCAGGGTGATGTTGGTGCTGGACTCATAATGCCTGCGTGAAGGAGATCCACTGGGTCCCTGGTAGCCTTGTCTGGGACCTTAGGCACAGCTCTGCAATAAGCACAGTTTATGAACCCCAGTGGCTGCATGTGTGGTGGTTTCTGTTGCCTGGCCTGAATGCTTGGCTGGTCAGTGCAATGGGTCCTGGGAGTAGATGGTGTGGCAGGCCTCAGATCACATGGCTAGGATACTTTACATGCCTGCATGGTGGTGCTAGCTCAGTGAGCACTGAGGGTGGGGCTCCACTGGGCAGGATTGACTGGCTCAGGTCTTGTAAGGACCGGTACTCCTTAGTTGAAAAGGAGTATTGGACAGCTGGTCTGGATCCACCTGGAATTGGCAGCCCACTGAGGCCTGGAAAGCACATCCAAGAGAAAGGAAAGAACAGTCGGAATAACTACCTCAGCCAAATGATGATAGCAAATATCTGGAGGAAAGAAGACCCTAAGGTCAACCATGTCAGCCAATGAACATTGAAAGGGTTCCCGCTTGCTTGAATCAGTGAGATGGACCCCATTTCAGAACTATCAGAACCACCGGGAAAGAAATGTTGGAGGGTGTGCCATATTGACACCCTAGTTTGGTATCAGGGGTCCAGTACCCATCCTTAAGTACTAGGATGGTTGGGAGGCCTAGTATAGCTTCTCTGAATATCATTTAGCCTTGACCTAAAACAGGAAGGAAAAATAGAAGATTTGCAAATGATAATACCAATTTTAATACACATTGAGTGCAATTAAATCAAACACACACACACACACACACACACACACACATACTACACAGAAACCCAACTCATAAAAAAATGATTAAGTTGCATTCCCCTAGTCCCACCCACCTCATGATGTTGGAGGTGGGTGGAGTCTAGGCCTGCCTTGTATCCAATGTATCCACTCCCAGCGTACTCACCAGGGAGGGCGAAGCCTTTCGAGCCCAGGAAGGCCAAGACTCAGCTCTTCACATCGTCATAGTGGTTGGACATAGAGCTATGTGGCTGGACTTAGCAAAGACTCCACAAGATTTCTACTGAGCCATTGGAAATGACCCTTGGCACACCATGCCTCTGCACAAACATGAACACATCCACCAACGTAACCTCCAGTCACTGTCTAGCTCCACCTAAACCTCCAGACTGATTGTGCTTTTAAGATATGGGGGGTGGGGGAGGAGATAAGAAGTATAACACTTTAGGACCTTAGAGGCTTTAATCACCAACTACCTATTTTCACTTTTGCTCGCACATCAATTTTCATTTTAGAAGCAAGTCTCTGGGTCCTAACACTTGGGAAACTGTTGGAGGATTGACACAAGAGGCCAATTTTCTGCATGACTTGAAGCTCCTTCAGTGAATCCTGAATCTCAACTACCTGACATGGGACCAAAGTTCTGGGCTCCTTTTTCACACTTCACACTGGTTTATCAGCATTGAAGGAGGGATGAGAGTCCAGACATCACCAAATATTCACTTTGGTTTGAGTTTTTATTGTTAAGCTGTGTTTATATTTACTGGAAATTCAGATATACAGAGAGGATATAAGACACACAAGAAGATCTTCCAAATGCTGACTCACATTCCAAAAATACACAACTGCCAGAGCTGTTTCAAAGCCAAATACTAGGAGTTTCTTCTGGGTCTCCCACACAGATGTATAGCCATAAGCTTGTGGGGTGTCTTCACCAACTTTCCCAGACCACAGGCTGCTGAGGTCCATGCAGTGCATGTGAAAGACATGAAGGTTTGAAGAGAACTTTTCCATTGCAGGCAAGGCCACAAGGAATTTTCCGCTGCATGGCAAGGCCCAGCTGGATGTCTCTACAACCACCTGAAAAGCAGTTCCATTTCCTTTTGCATACACACTGGACAAGCCCACAGAGATATTTGTAATTAGGCATTGTCTGTCACTGTGGAGTTGAATTTATGATTAGTGTGTGCTTAGAAGATGATGTTGGTGATACCATCTTAGCAAAAGGGTCTTTTATTATTCCTGCTCCCTCAGCTGCCCCTCTGATCATATGAAAATCAAGGGTGTTAAGTCCCTACACCTAGCAGGAACCTAGGCTTAGGGTTGTCCTCCTACATGGGCCACATGCTAATCAAGGATGTTAAGTCCTTAGATGTAGTGGAAATCTATTCTTTCCCTCTTTCATTAATCTTTAGGTCCCTCCTTCTGTGATGCACTTCCTCCCTAAACTGAATCAAGACTAAGTTGGAGCATCAGAATAGTAATAGGAATGTGTTACTGATTGACATGTACCATCTATTGAGAACTTCCTCACCACAGGATTAGGACAGCTGATATCCTGCCTCAAGGTGAAATAATTGGTAGAACTATCCTTAGGAAGGCCTGCTTGACCAGGTGTGAAAAGTAGGTGCCAGAGTTTGTGAAGGCTTCTGTACAAAGAAAGAGGACAGCTTTCTTGAATTGTCCATTATGATCCTGAAACTGTAGTGGTCCATTTATTTGCTATGCCTACTCCACGCGTCCTTCTTAAGTTCTGAACTTGGCTAATCTGGACACCTGCAATAGGCAGAGAGCTGGATATTAAGTGGAGCTGCCAGGGCAGAAACCAGTGTCCGTATATGATCCCAGTGCATGCAAGCTGAAGGACAGCCACTAGGCTATCATGCCATGCCCTCAGGTTTGATCTTTAGAAATGACTTGTGTGGATGACCCCCTCTATACTTTATACATGACATCAGAAAAAGCCAGTTTCTTCAGATTTGTCACTCATGTGGCTTCCTACCTCGGAGAGCTGAACAGCCAAAGAATGACCTGTGCAGATTTGAAGCTGTGTAGTAGCAGCTATTTCCTTGTTGGTTGAGAAAAACCAATGGCAAGTGTCTTACACACAGGTTCCTGTACAGACAAGGAATGTTCATAGGACACTTAAAAATCTGAGACCCTTCTGAAAAACATTGCTGTCTCCATTCAACAGGCGCATGATCTCCTCCCTCTGCTTCCTACATTCACCTGTTCACTTTCCAAATAAAACTCTGTCTGAAAGTGAAAAAAAAAAAAAAAAAAAAAAAACAAGAGAGAGAGAAAGAAAAAGGGAAAGAATGAAATCCTATTTCTCAAGTCCCATTTTTGTACAATTTCCCTTTCATATCGTGTTTCATTTATGGCCAGAGATAATGCTAAGCATCTTTGTGGCAATGCAGCTCTCATTTTAGGTATTCTATAATTTTTCAGATTACAACTTACCTGAAGATTATTTCTTGAACTTTCTGCTTAGCTCCAAGCAGCTCATTCTTTCCATGGGGATCTGAAATGAGGAAAAGAGTAATCATATGTATGAATCACATCTAAATGTTGTTTTTTCAAATGCTCAAGTGAAGTCAATGAAATTTATTGCCATTCTAGATACAGCATATTTTAGTATTAGTAAAATGTAGACATATATAAGCCTTATTAACTAGGCAATATAGCTCATCTATGAATGCCTTAACATAATACCCATCTTTTTAAATTAAAATTTCAATTATGTGACATTGTGTGTTTAACATAAAGTGGGATATGAGAGAAAATATGTCATAAAAATATAAAATAAATCTTGGGGTATGTTACATCCAATCTCAGCCCTAGTTTGTCTTTTCCTGGCTACTCTGCTTCAAATACAACTTCCTGAAAATGTATCTTGGGAGGTGGTAGATGTGATTCAAGTGTTTGGGATCATAAAAAGTCAAATATATACTTCTAAATTTATGTTGACAGGCTGGCAAATTGCTAGAATAAACCTATTCATGGAGACTATAGAATGCCTGTGTCTCACCGGCTCTCCTTCTGGAAGAAACTCAAAGTAAAACTCAAATATAATTCCAGTCAACATTTACTGAAAGAAGTATCAGCTTCCCTGCTGACCTACCTGGAAGTCTCTGCTTGACAGATTTCTCCACTATCCATGGTGCTGATTCTTGTTCCAACTTGAAGATCACATCAGGCTTTGTCATGCAGTATCCTGCTAATGGAGAATGATGCAGATTTTCTGAAATCAGCACTGGTCCTACCAACTACTACACTTTTAAACTCCTCTTTCATTATCAAACTATACAGAAGTGTTCTTCTTGGGCATGACAGAACTTCACTCACCCACAGACAGCAGATTGTTATAGGTCTCAAGCATCACCTCCCTGTACAGGGTCCTCTGAGCATTGTCCATTGTCTGCCATTCTTCCTGGGTAAAGTCCACAGCCACATCTTCAAAGGACACCAACACCTGTAACAGCACATGTCTCCTCAGTTCTGGATTATTCAATAGAATCACTGATAGTACATTCTCTGTATATCTAATTTGCAACTTCTATGGACACAGTTTAATTTACAATTCATACAGCATCATAGTTAAATAAAAATATTTTGTGCTATATCACTTTTGCAATTCCAATATTACAACAGAATATTCCTTA